TGTAACTTTAAATGTTAGAAGGAAGAAAAATTTAGTATTAAATTTCTACCTTAAGAATCTAGAAATAGAAGAGTAAATTTTCCCCAAGGGAAAGGAGGGAACTACTAAAGACAGTAGGAATCAATGATATAAATAGAAGTGACACAAACATTAGAGAAAATTTAAAACAATCAAAATGTGTTTCTTTGAAAAAAAATAATAAAATTTATATACTCTTAGCAAGATGCGGGGGGGGGGGGGGGTGAGAAATCACCAATTTGAATGATGAATGAAACAGGGAATGTCTCTTTAGGTCCTAGACATAAAAGAGAAAATTACAAACATTTTTATGCCGTTAAATTTGATAAAGGAATTACACAAATTACTTGAAATACACAACTTACCAAAACCAAGAGAAGAAATCGAACATTTTAATAATCCACTCTTTATTACAATTAATTTGTATATCAAAAACCTCACCATAAGAAAAGTCCATTGGCCCTGGCTGCTTTGGCTCAGTGGTTGGAGCATCGGCCCATGGACCAGAGAGTCCAGGGTTTGGTTCCCACTAGGGGCATGTACCTCAGTTGCAGTTTGTTCCCCCACTCTGATTGGGGTCATGTGGGTGACAGCCAGTCGATGTGTCTCTCACGTCGATGTTCCCCACCCCCCTGCTCTATCTGAAGATAAATGCAAAAAGTGTCCGTGGGTGAGGATAAAAAAAAAGTCCATTGCCCCAAGGATTCCTCTCACTAATAAAATATATGAGATAATACTAATTTTATGACAATTCAGGAAAAAGGAAAAGGATAGAGGCTTTCCAATTGATGTTTGAGGCTAGCAATACCCTCATATAAAACCTGACGAAGACATTACAAGAACTAAATTTACAGATATCATTCAGAACTTAGCCATAAAAATATTTAACAAAATATTAGCAAATTGAATCCATCAGTTTAAACAGGCGAATACAGCCCTGGCCAGTTTGGCTCAGCGGTTAGAGTGTCGGCCTGCGGCCCGGAGAGACCTGGGTTCGGTTTCCGCTAAGGGCACGTACTTCGGTTGCAGTTTGTCCCCGGCCCTGGTTGGTCGTGCGGGTGGCAGCCACTCGATGTGTCCCTTCACGTCGATGTTTCTCTCTCTCTCTCCCTTCCTCTCCCTCCCTCCCACTCTATCTGTACAAAAAATGGAAAAATATCCTCGGGTGAGGATAAAAAAAATAAATAAATAAAAATAAATAAACAGGCGAATACAGAGAGAGGGAAAATGGCAGCAGAGTGAATGAAAGATACACAGACTGTCTCCTGGGACCAAACTGGAATTACAGCTAAAATAATGACAAGTCATATGGAAAAACCAACTGAAGAACAGCTGGAGAGAACCCTTATAACCAGGGATGTAAAGAATACCTCAAATCAAGAGTAGTAGGAAGTGTGGAGGCATGAGAGGGCTGGCTGGGTTCCAACAGGCAGCAGCTGAGAGTTATCTTGGCTGTGAGAAGCTCCCTCTGAGAAGTTGGAGATTTAAACCCTAAGCTGGCTCCCCAGCACAGAGCAGTGGAACAGGGAAAGGTGCCCACTTAACACCTGGCTGAGAAAATCATCAGAACAGAGGTTCTGTCCAGTAGGAAGAGTCACTGGGAACACTGGCATTTCCCTGAAGGGCCAGTGCACTAAATTACAGCTAGAGCCACTCACCTTGCACTCCAGTAGGGGGAGGGAAAACTGGACTGGAGCTGTGTGAAGAGAGTTGGGAGTTCATGGCACTGGGGAGAGAGCTGGAAAGGCGGCATCAGGAGCTCTATGCTGAGTCATTCCCCTACACAGCAATAGCCATCTTCCTCAAGAAGCCACTTTATATCAGAGCAGCTTTAGCCTAGGGGAGAAGCAACTGCCCTTCCCTCACCGCCCAGCCAGAAAAGTGCAAATTGAGGCTCATTAATAGCCAGAGACTGCCTGCTAGCCAGTAGGCAAAGAAGAGCCTTTGAAAGCTTTGAGCTTTGAACCTGGCTTTCAGTGTTGGCTGTCATGGCTCTGGGGACTGAGCTGTGAAGGCTGAGGCCTGGGTTCCTGTGCTGAGCCGTTAACCCACACTGCAGAAACCATTTTCTTCTCAAAGCAACTTTAACCCAGGGGAAAGCAATTGCCCCACCCGCTGGAAATCCTCTTACCCTGCCCACCTGTGGGATTTTTTATTCAGCTGAGGGCTATAACCTGAGGCTCATTAAGTAACGAGACTAATAGTCAGCCTGCAGGCAATAATTCTGGGATAATTGAATCTTTGCTTGGCCTGGGACTTTACCCAGGGAAGTAAGACTAGACATTGGTGTTCAGTGTGGTCTCTTCCATACTCATTCAAACCCAGCAGAGGGAGCCACAATCAGTGGAACATTGACACTCACAGGAAAAATTTGGCAGGCTCCAAACCCTATTGAGGCAGCCAAAATGGTGAAACAAGAAAACAAATCCCAAATAAAAGAACAAGAGAATTCTACAAAAGAAAGGCTAACTGAAACAGAATTAAGCAAGTTATAAGAGGTAGAGTTCACAGTAATGATTATGAGGAAGCTTAACAGCATGAGCAAAGATATAGAAACAATGAAAATCAGCCAATTGGAAATGAAAAACCATCAAGCAGAAATGAAGAATGACATAGCAGAAATAAAGAACACACTGGAAGGAATAACCAGCAGATTAGAGGAAACCAAGGGTTAGATCAGCAAATTAGAAGACGGTAGAAAAATCACTCAATCAGAGTCAAAAATAAAAAACAATGAAAAAAAAAAAACAGGAGGACAGTTTAAGAGAGCTGTGGGACAGTATGAAACATAACAACATCCACATCATAGGAGTACCAGAAGAAGAATAAAGTGAGCAGGGGTTAGAGAATATATTTGAAGAAATAGTGGCAGAAAACTTCCCTAACTTGGTGAAGGAAAAAGGTATATAAGTACAAGAAGCACAGAGAGCCCCAAGTAAGAAGAACCCAAAGAGGCTCACACCAAGACACATCATAATTAAAATGCCAAAAAATTAAAGATAAAGAGAGAATCTTAAAGGCAGCAAGATAAAAGCAACAGGTTACCTACAAAGGATCCCCCCCCCCCCATAAGGCTATCAGCTGATTTCTCAACAGAAACACTACAGACCAGAAGGGAATGGCATAAAGTATTTAAGGTAATGAAAAACAAGGATCTGAATTCAAGACTAGACTATCCAGCAAAGCTATCATTCAAAATAGAAGGTGAAAGAAATAAAGAGCTTCCCAGACAAAAAAAAAGGCTAAGGGAATATATTAGCACCAAACCAGCACTGCAAAAAATGTTAAAAGGACTGCCGTAATAAGCAGAAAAAATAGAGAAACATAGCCATAAAAAATAAAAATGGCAATAAATAAGTACATATCAGTAATGTAAATGGATTGAATTTGTAGGTCAATTCCATGACAACTAATATCTATAATAGTTTAGAGTAGCTGAATGGATAAGAAATTATGATAAAAGGTCCAGGCAAACTAGGAATTGGGATAAAACTTCCTTGATCTGATCAAAGATATTTATTTAAAAAACTCTTTATATTTATAAAGATATTTATAAAGAATCAAATGTATTTACAAAGATATTTATGATAAAAAGCTCTGGACAAACTAGCATTAGGGTTGAAACTTCCTCAAAGATATTTATAAATATATTTACTGAAAAGCCATTATCATTTTTAATGGTGAAACAATAAATATTTTCCCTGCAAGATCAGAAATAAGGCAGGGACATCTGCTCTCACAACTTCTATTCAGCATTGTGCTAGAGATCCTAGCCAGTTTAATAAGACAAATGACAGCTTCAAAGAAGAAATAAAACTCCTGATTTGCAGATATTATTATTTACATTAAAATATTCTAAGGAATCAAACAACAAACCTACTGGAAGTAATAAATGGGTTAAGCAGAGTCTCAGGATACAAGTCAGTACACAGGAAAATCAATTGTATGTCTTTATATTAGCAATGAATAATTGGAAACTTAAATCTTTAAATAGCACCATTTACAACAGCATAAAAAACATAGAATTGAAATGAATTTAAGAGAAAATTTGCAAGCTCTTGCAAAAAAGATGTATGAAGGTTCATTCAAAACTACAAAGGTTTACTGAGAGAAAGAATACTCAAGTAAACAGAGTAGTAGACCACATTCATTAATTTGAGAAACTATTATAGGTATTAGTTGTCATGGAATTGACCTACAAATTCAACTCAAGAGCCAAAAAAAAAAATCTCCTTCCTCCTGTGAAGCTGACGAAAGATGAAACTTATGTGTGAAGCTGTTTCTTCAACTTTGAAATTACATTCAGGGTAAAATGTAACTGGATTCTGGGTTTACTGCTTTGGATTGTTATTTCTTCTAGATTTTGGCCCTACTGTTTCTCCCCTTATTGTAAATTCTGATATAATTTAAGATATTTTCTTGTTTCTTTCTTTTCTTTTTTAATATTATCTAGTTTTTAATTAGTCTTTGGTAAGAGTCAAGTTGCTAGCTCCATTACTAGAAGACGTCTCCACGGTCTATTTTTTCTGTCAGTCAGTTAGATAAAACTTATGTTTTGAGCACCTACTGTATGGACAGGCACTTCTAGGCACTGTGTATGTAGTGACAAGCAAGACAAAAGCCTTTGAACTTAAAAATTTCTCATTCTAAGAGGATGTGTTTGTTTTTCTATTTAAACTGATTTAGAAGCAATGATTGTGAAATGCATGAACTTTAAGCAAATGTTAGTCTCTGTCTTCTGAGGTCTTCCATGGGGAACTAGAACCTTACATAACAGACTTTAAACTTCAGCACCATGCTGAATTGGAGGACCATGATAAAATCTGTGCAAAGTCTGAGGTAGAGCAAGAACTAGGGGGATAGAACCTGAGGTGGTAAGTGAGGGACTAACATTTTAAAGACTAAGGTTTCATCACATGTCCAACAAAGATTGGAGAAGTGACCCATGAGCCACCTGTGTTCTTATCTTTTCTATCCCACAGATACGGAGAGTATAAGCCTCCAAAAGGGAAAAAGTGAGAATCAAGAATCTTCAGATTTGTTCACAGAGCCACCCTTTCGAGTTGCAGAAAGACCTTGGACTCTAAAACCTCTCTATCCAGCTTTAACCAACAGCATAAAGAAGTACCCAGGCTCTCGCCAATTTTCAGTAGTTCCTGAGAATGACAACAGAGCAAGACAAGGAAACCATCAAATCACTGATGCCTGAAGGGATTATATTAGACAACTGATACCTTCCAAGGCCTTTAATTCCAACCAAACACCCATCTGGGAGGCCACTAGAGAGGCTACCCTCCAAACTGCATTGCTTGCCATGAAGATGAATGAACCAACAATCTCCTCCATAGCAGTCCTTCATCCTGAAACACAACCCCAAAGATCTCCCACTATTGAATCCTCCAGAGAATCCTCTCTTATACTGATTTCCACCACATCCAGCATGTCCTCATCCTTTGGGCTGTCCTCAAAGAAGAATTAACCACACCTTGCCCCCTTCTTCTCCTCCCCGTGTTAAGATTGGTGATTGTAGGGATTGATCAAGAAAGGAGTGCAGAAGAGCCATTGAAGCTCCAAAAAAGCATTCTGGTCTAGCCTCTTTATAAAGAATGCCTCTCCAGGGATGGGGAAGGAAAAACAGTTGTTGTGTTCTTGGAACTGTTGTGTTCTCTGGGTGATACAGGGCTTGTCTCATCCTAACCTTTCATAATATTCCCTGTTAATGGAGTGGCTGTGGTGAACATCAGCATGTAAATAAAGCCAACCTTTCAGGAATGCAGAACGTAAGTTGTGTATGACATGGACCTTTCTATGATCACTTGGGCTGACAAAGGCTAAAGGATAAGTGCAAAAGTGATGCCATCCTGAGTCAGAAAATGAGAGGTGGCATAGACATGAGTTGGGGGCAAAGGTTTTATCCCACATGCACTTTTTGTGATCAGGTTGGAAATGGAATGCTTGCTTTTGTCTGATTCTCTAATGAAATGATGGGCATAATCCCATACCCACCCAGTGGCCCTAGGCCTTGAGTGAAAAACAGATTCACAGCAAATGTCTAGAGCTCGGTCATTCTAGAGAATCTCAAGGAAAGATGGCCCTGAATCTACCAAGTGAAAGAAGCAGTGCAATGAGATAAAAATGGGGTATTTTATAATCATTAATCAAACAGGCATAACCTCTGGAGCCTTGTCTTCTTCACTGACACTAAGAATAGGACATTGCCACCTTCTCTCAGATAAGATTCAATCTAGTGGAGGAGTCAAAACAAATATAACTACATATAAATATAAATATATAAATAATTCTTCAAGGTTGCAGTGGAAGAACTATCACCAGTCAGAAAATCTTTACTTGCCAAATGAACTAATTAAAAGAGTAATAATTCTTGGAATCCATAAAAATAAAGTGACATTATTTTGAGGTTGTAAGAAATCTGGGAGGATTTAGAACTAGAATGTGAAAATTTGGGTAGGATTTAGAAAAGATAAAATTAGATATTACATATTAAGTAGTCTAGACAACATTAGTCAAACAGAACTTTAATATCAATCTTAATTTTCTAATTTGTCCTTTAAGAATTGTGATAAAATATACATAACAAAATTTATCACTATAACCACTTTTCAGTGTACAGCTCAGTGGGATTAAGCACTTTCACACTGTTGTGCAGTTATCAGCCCCTTCTATCTCCAGAACTTTATTTTACAAAACAGAAACTTTGTATGGATTAAATACTTAAACGTAAGACCTGAAACCATGAAATTACCAGAAGTAAACACAGGAAAAAGCCTTCTTGACATTGATCTGGGAAATGATTTTTTAGACATGACATCGAAAGCACAGGCAACAAAAGCAAAAATAATCTAGTAGGATAGTATCAAATTAAAAACCTTTTGCAAGCAAAGGAAACAATCAATAGAGTGAAATGGCAACCTACAGATGGGAGAAAATATTTGCAAACCATATATCTAACATCAGGTTAATATTTAAAATCTATAAGAAATACTTACAACTCAATTGCAAATACATACATACATTCTCAACCAAATTAAAAGAAAAAATGGGAATGGGACCTGAATAGACATTTCTCAAAAGAAGACATACAAATGGCCAACATGTGCATGAAAAGGTGTTCAACATCACTAATTATGAGGGAAATGCAAACCAAAACCACAAAGAAAAATCACTTCACACCTGTCAGAATGGCTACTATAAAAAAGACAAAAGGTAACAAGTGTTGAAGATTGTGTGAAAAAAGAACTCTGCATACTGTTGGTGGGAATGTAATTTGGTAAAGCCATCATGGAAAACAATATAGAGGCTCCTCAAAAAATTAAAAATAGAACTATCATATGATCCAGAAATCCCACTTCTGAGTATATATTCAAAAGAAATTAAGTCAGTACTTTGAAGAGACACCTGCACTCCCATGTTCATTGCAACATTATTCACAATAGCCAAGATATAGAAACAATCTAAATGTCTGACTATTAATAAATGAGTAAAAAATATTGGAGATATATAGAATAATTTTTTTTCTTTAAGTTTTCTTTTGGCTTTCATTTGCATGGAATATCTTTTTCCATCCCTTCACTTTCAGTCTGTGTGTCCTTAATGTTAAAGTGAGTCTCTTGTAGACAATAGTCAATTGTATGAGCATGTAGTCTTTTATTATTATTAATATTATTATTATTATTCATTCAGTCACTCTGTATCTTTTGATTAGAGATTTTATTCCATTTACATTTAAAGTAATTATCTATAGGTATGGACTAATTGTCATTTTGTTTATTGTTTTCTGGATATTTTATAATTCCTTTGTTCCCTTCCCTTGCTCTCTTCATTTGTGATTTGGTGATTTTCTGTAGTGGCATGCTTAGATTTCTTTCTTTTTATCTTTTGTATACAACTATAGGTTTTTGTGTTGTTTTTTTCTCTGTGGTACTATGAGGCTTACATAAAACATCTTATTTATAATATTCTGTATTATGTTAATAACAACTAATTTTAAATGCATTCTAACATTGTACATTTTTGCTTCCCCCAACACATTTTATGTTTTTGATGACACAATTTACATTTTTATATTGTGTATTCATTCACAAATTATTGTAGTCATATTTTCCTACTTTTGTCTTTTAACCTTTATACTAGATTTATAAGCAATTAACACTACAACACTGGGTTATTTTGAATTTAACTATTCAGTTGACCATTGAACAACACAAGGGTTAGGGGTCCTGACCCTCCATGTAGTTGCAAATCTGTGTACAACTTTTGGCTCTCCCAAAACTAAATAGCCTACTGTTGACCAGAAGCCTTACCAAAAACATAAATACATATTATATGTCTATATATATATGTATATATATATAGTATGTTATATGTATTATATACTGTATTCTCAAAATAAGCTAGAGAAAAGAAAATGTTATTTAAAAAAATCAAAAGGAAAAATATTTATTGAAAAAAAATCCATGTATAAGTGGATCTATACAGTTCAAATCTGTGTTGTTCAAGAGTCTGTATATTTACCTTTAACCGTAAAATTTATACTTTCGTATATTTTCCTATTACAAATTAGTGCCCTTTTATTTCAGCTTAAATAAGTCCCTTTAACATTTCTTTTATTAAAAAAAATTTTTTAATTGATTTTTAGAGGAAGGGAGAGGGAGAGAAAGATAGAAACAATGATAAGAGAAAACATCAATTGGCTGCCTCCTGCATGATCCCAACTGGGGATTGGCCCACAACATAGGCATATACACTGACTGGGAATCAAACCAGTGACCTCCTGGTGCATGGGTCGACACTCAACCACTGAGCCACACTGGCCAGGCCCTTTAACATTTCTTATAAGGCTGGTCTAGTGGAGCTGAACTCTTTCAGCTTTGCTTGTTTGGAAAACTTTTTAACTTTCCTTCAATTCTGAAGGATAACTTTGCCAAGTTGTATATTCTTGGTTGGCAATTTTTTATTTCAGCACTTTGAATATATTGCGCCACTTCTTTCTGTCTGGCAAAGCTTCTCCTGAAAAATCTGCTGATCTTTTGGGGGGTTCCCTTGAACACAATAAGTTGTTTTTCTCTTTCTGCTCTTAAGATTCTCTCCTTGTATTTAATTTTTGACAATTTAATTATAATGTGTCTTGTTGTAGATACCTTTGGGTTCATCATCTTTGGAACGTTTTGGGTTTCCTGGATCTGAATGTTTGTTTACTTCCCCTAGGTTACGGAAATTTTCAGCCATTATTTCTTCAAATATGTTTTCTGCCTCTTTTGCTTATCTCTTTCTGGGACCCCTATGTGGTTGATGTGACCCAAAAGTCCCTTAAGCCATCTTCACTATTTTTTATTCTTTTTGTTCCTCTGGTTGGATGAATTCCACTGCCTCATCTTCAAATTTGCAGGTTCTTTCTTCTGCTTTATTGAACCCCTCTATTGACTTATTGATTTATTTTTCAGTTTAAGTATTATTCAGCTTTGTGATTTCTCTTTAGTACTTTCTTATATTTTCTACCTGTTTGTTGAAATTCTCCCTTTGTTCATACATTGTTCTCCTGACTTTAGTGAGATTTTTGTGACCATTATTTTGAACTGTTCCAGGTAAATCACTTATCTCCTTTTCACTAAGGTCTTTCTGAGGTTTTATCTTGTTGTTTCATTTGGAAAATATTTCTTTGTTTCTTTATTTTTCTTGACTCTGTTATTTCTATGCATTAAATAAAGCAGCCACATCTCCCAATCTTCAAGGAGATAACCCTTCTAATTCAACCCTGCCCTAGCTCTTGGCTATCTCTGTAACATTTGTGAACAAAGTCTTCTTTGTTCTTAGTGGCTCCAGTAGTTGAGGGTGTGCCAAGGCCTGTAGTGTCCCAAAGGGAAAGATCTCAGTCAGCTCCTAGTTGCAGGCTTATAAGAAGGCTATTCTTAAGCAGCAGGTTTTAAAGTATGCAATTATCGTTGGATTGGTGTGGCTCAGTGGTTGAGTGTTGACCCATGCACCAAGAGGTTGCCAGTTCAATTCCCAGTCAGGACACATGCCTGGGTTGTAGGTTCAATCCCCAGGAGGGCATGTGCAGGAGACAACTAATTGGTGTTCCTCTCTCATTGATGTTTCTCTCTCCCTCTCTCTCTTTAAAAATCAATAAAAATATAATAAATAAATAAAGTGTGCAATTATCCCTTTTTCAGGGGAAAACTAGGAAATGGGCATTTCTGTCTGTTCCTTCTGCACAGAGCCCTGGGGGAATAGTTAGTTGTGAACCATTTCTTTTTCTACAATTCTGTTGAACATTGAACACAAGTCCCTCCGGCAACCAGAACCAGGCTATCGAGGGATGTGTCTTCTGGGTAACAGCTATGAAAGCCGTTTCACCAGATGTGTGCATAAACTTCTTTCTTAGAGACGTGGGGTGGGGCAGAGGGAGAATGTGAAAATGGTACACATTAGCCTCCCTGGCCTCTGGAGAGGATTGCAATT